GCTGTTAATCACAGAAATTGTCTATCAAGCATTCATGAGCTCATTTGAATGACTACTTTTAATATCAGAGGTACAAATTTAGTATTAAGTATTAATTTGCACTCAAATATTAAAAGCAAAATGTCAAATCGGAATAATGATTAAGGCGGAGTGATAGACGACACCTTCAGGTTCTCGTTCTGGACGGATGTTTTTTTTTAGGGAAACAATTTAAATTTGTTGTTCTGGTAATTCTAAAGCAGCTTAATTAACTTGGAGATGTTTTATTCTGTAAATAGATTACAGCTTTGATAATAGTTTCTCCTAATGATTTGTGATTCATACTGCAGAAATGGACTTTTTAATCCATTATGGTCATCAGCGTGCGCCGATGCCCTAATTCGCTTTTGGTAATTACAGCGAATGTTAAAGCATTAGCATATGCGACGCAATTAAGAGGAAATGGAGATCTGTTTGTGAATGTAAAGTTATCCCGACAAACATCTTGCCACGAGCCAAACTCGTGACTTTCTTTTCTTTTTTTTTTATAATTTTTTTGTCTTGATGTGATGTTATTTCTGGGACGAGTCTGAGTGTCGTCGATGTCTGGAGCTGCTCCTAACAGTCTGCACGGGTTCGTCAACAGTTTACAGAACTAGTTTAAAATTAGCTGTTACAGTGTCAGCTTATCAAGGCTTAAATGTTAGATAGTATATTAATTAGCATTCTGTATAGTAAAGATCTAATGCATTTTATCACGCTTATAGTAAGTCAAATGTGAATTTATAGTAAAAACAAGAAAAAAAACGGCTAACTTTTAGGTTTGTTTGCTTTTGTTGTATTTCATAACCAGCTTAATATGCAACCAGTCCTCTATTTGATCCACCTGTTTACACTTATAGTAGTACTAAGCTATGTTTACATATAAGAAAATACTCGTTATGCATCATTTATATTTATAAGTATTCACTAAGCCCTGATAAGCTGGCAGGTGAGTTTATTAATCCACCCAAAATATTTGTACAAAAGAAAACCAAGCAAAAAAGTTGCAGCACTTGTAAATACATTTAAATGTATATACACACAAACTATATCACGATTCTCTGATTAACTGTTTTATATGTATTCCTATATGAAGTGGGGTTATATGTGTATTTTCAATTTAGCTCAACTTGTTCTTGAACTCTATGTAATTTCTATAATGAGACTATATTGTCTGAAAGGTGTAAAGTAATTTCCTTTGAAATTGATTTCATAGGTAAAAAGTTTACTATTATGACATTTTTTTGGTTCTTCTTGAGATCTTTCTGTTGTCAGTATGTGACATATAAGTAATCACTGATTGTTTTCTGAGTGTCAGAATAAAGCAGTTATAAGAACATAATGTTTGCCTTCACACATGGATGTTTGTTATCAGTCTTTGCAAAGAAAACCTGAATTGATGTCATTTGTTTTTCTGTTATTTCTCTTTTATTTAAAGAAGAAAACATGCCTGGATGTGTCTGGCCATACAGATAATAATCTGTAGGAAAAACAAAAGAAAAATTTGCACGTTTTATTAATTACTGGTGATTTTTAAAAGCTTTTAGTCATCTGTATACCAGGGCTGAAACAATTAATTGGATTAAACGAGCTACCAATTTAGAGCAGAAATTATACCAAATTGTTAAAAAAAGAAAGAAAAAAAAACATATATATACACAAATTTTGCATTTAAGATTTAAAAATGTCTATGGATATAAGAGCGATTAACCTACTATAGGAGTGGAGCAGAAATTGCAGTCTTTTAGGTCTCGACTTGAGATATGGGCAAAGAAATGTTAAATTAAATGCCATTTTAGTTTCAGTAAATAATATCTGTGTTAACATGGCCCTAATCTCATTTTAGCACGTTTTGATCAACTCAAAATCTACCGAAAAGGAGTTATTCAGTTATATGATCAGACCCACACTGGAATCAGAGTTGGGAGATGAATACATCAAAAACCATCAAGAAATCTACACCAGAACATAGATAATCAAACATGTTTGATTATCTATCTTTCCCAAATAGATTGTTATGACAGCCAAAGCAAAAGTATAATCTGGTACAGATGAAAAGAAAATCCACAGGAAAGCACTGATTGATCAGTGCTGCTACATCGTGATATCTCACCGTCTTAGGTTTGTAGCAGGCGTTCCAAATACATCTAAATATCTAAAAACCTCAGTGTGGACAGAATTCAATTCAGTTTATTTCTATAGATACAGATCATCCAGTCAAATTGATTCAAAGTTTTCTATCTATGGAAACCAGCTGATTGCATCGACTCATTGACTCGAAGGCAATCCCTCACACTGAGCATGCTTGTAGCGACAGTAGAGAGGAACATTCTCTTTTAACAGGAAGAAACTTCCAGCAGAGCAATGCTCAGTGTGAGTGGCCATCTGCCGAGCCCGACTGGGGTTCAACAAGAATCAAATTCCTAACAAGGGGTGTGGTGTAAAATAAACTCAATTTGCCGATATGACGTGATTTTCGGCTACCCGATATAAAATCCATATTTCAGTTCCTATTATTTGTGAAATTAGGGAGCTCAGACAGAGGCAAGAAAAAAGCTTCGAATTTATTTAAAGGCCTACTATGCAACATTTTTCAGTTAATTAATGTGTTCCATAACGTTTTGGATGATTAAATTAGTCATTTCAGGTCGAACAAAGGTTTTCTCGGCCGCCCTGGTGGTCTGTGGGGGAAATACCGTACTTGCAATTGCAGGAGCACCGACCCGCACCCACAGGCTCAGAAGTCTCGTCGAGAGTCAGTCTTGCTTTACGGCGAGAACTGCTACACGCCCCCAGTTAAAAGCATTCTCGTTGCTAGCGCAGTGGCGATATTTGTGCAGTTATCATGGCGGAACCAGCGAGAATTTTCAAACTCCAAAACTGGAACAAAATAGTCACTTACCGCAGTAGACATTGTGATTCGTTGTGTTTGCCTTTCTGCTAAGCTCAAAACAACCGCGCCTGGCTTGACGGAGAAACCAGGAGAACAGCTGAGCACATTTACGACAGTGCACTTTTACTTTCGCCCTCTGGGGGGAGCCTCGCTGTAAAATCAACACCGGTTGCATAGTATACCTTTAACGTCCTCCGACAGAGAGATAAGGCTCTGAAAGGACAAAGCTCAGTACCTACTTTTATACCTTACAAAAATCCAAACACACACTCCCCCCAAGGGAACCAACCCACCCACCGCATAAAGAACTTTCTCACACTTGAACAACAACTTGAGTTCAAGACCATTTGCTGTTAGGTTAATATATCTTTCACTGGCTAGATGGATCTCCTAATAAGAGCAGTCCTGCCCTTTATGCCATGGAGGCAGCTGTGTAATTCATTCATGATCTCTCATGACCTTCGTTTTGAGCCTGTGAGGCTAAGAACAGACATATCTTAACATTTTTTACTCCAGAAAATACAGATTTTCTACCTAAAACAATGAGAGAAAATGGGCTACCAAGGCAGATGGTGCTGTTTGGCCCTTTTGCTGCGCAGTGCATGGCCATATCCTCAGTTGAGGCAGTTGTGGTAGAAGACGTGGGCGGAGTCAATGATGAATATATACAACACTTGCTTTATCTATACATTTAATTTTGATAGCTGGGAAAAATATCACTTATGGCATAATCACGATAATAATGTATCTCGACCCAAGTATCGTGACACATTACGTATCGCAAGACCCATGCCAATACTTGACCCAATTGCTAACTATACATCATGCAATGCATTCGGCATAGAAGTCCCTTCTAAATTTTAATTTAAAATGAAATTTTCTTGATAATAAAGAAGTTAGCTTCCACTTCCAAAGTAATGGTTTAACGTTCAACTAGATACGCATAACAAAGAGCTCTAAAGAAGTGTGACAACCCTAACTGGAATGTTTCCAGTTGCATGGCTGCAGAAAGATATCTGAATGGCTCAGACCTACCAGGTTTTAGCAGATTTCTTAAACAAGCACAGAGTCTAACACCTGAGCTAACTCTCTCCTGAATCCTTCAAGTCTGCAGTGATTAATATATTTGTGTCTGCAGTCCTTCCAGGACTAGGCTCCTGTCAGCGAGGACTATATGTAGCTCTGCAGCTATTGTGCTCCCTCCCTGCTGAGTTGTAAGGCTGTGTGTGGATATTTTTGTATGGTGGCTCCCAAGTGAGCACACAGTAAATCTGAGGTATAGAAGAGAGCACGGTGGGGAAGAGCTTGGGCCAGTTTTGCTCTATAAGAAGAGATGGATGGCCGGATGGAGGGAGGAAGAGGAGGGGCAGGTCGGATGCTGATTGAGCACGCCGCTTGTTTCACTGTTTGTCTCTCCGGATTGGAAGTTGGACTACAAAGCCGTTTTGAAACGAACGCCTTATCTTCTTTCATTTCCCTATTTTTTCATCAGAAGCTCCTCAGATCACTGTGAATTAGCGAGCTTCTGTCACAACAAGGGTCCTGGGACGCTCGCTCGCCTGCCCTCTATACCCTCGCACCACGCCCTCTCCCCTCCGCTGCCATCCAGCCCCATTACGCTGAGACTCTGCACTGCGCTCTGCCAAAGTGCCGATCTCCACATGTATGATTACAGCTGGCTCTGATCTTTATTCTGGAGAGAGCAGCAGGCAGCGCTCGTCTTGGCAGGCCTCCGCTCGGGCTCCTTTTATGCTGCATTACAAGAGTGGGATGGAAACCGAACGAAGCGATTGTCTCAGAGTTTCCAAACTTTCTAAATCAGAGTTCCTCTCGGGTGTTAAGACTCTGTGCTCATCTTGAACTCTCCTTGTAAAATCCTACATTATACATATAGGAGGAGGTTCAGGGACGTTTTTGTTGCATGTTTTGCTCCATATGTTTCCTTTTTCTTTGACAAGCTCCACGACCATGAAAAGAAAAATGGCACACACTGACTCTCCACTGCACCTCTCAGTACGCACATCAAAATGAAACATCCCATTCTGCATATTTACCCGTTCTTCCTACTTCTCTCCCCTTTTTCTAGTAAATACAAAACGAAGAGCTGTACTCAGTATTGATGGACATCACAGATGAAAACAACGAAGAGAGGAGAACTAGCTTTAAGAAAATAACACAAGAAGAAGATGAAAAGGAGTCCCTCTACTGAGGCTGGCGAGGGAAGACGGGAGGCGTACAAAGTGGCGCCACGGCAGTGGTGTCAAACCAGCCACAAACTTGACAGATGGAGTGAGCCAGTTTCCACCAGGGACCACCTTTTTGCCGGGTAGAAAAAAAAAAAAAAGACAGAGAGAAGGAAGTGTCCCGTTATTATAAAACATTTTATTTTTCTATACTTTTGTGATTTACAATGGTAAAAAAAAAAAGTGTGTATAAAGCAGTATATATGTACAAATCTGTTTTTATGTTTTTTGGTAAGGGAGATGAACAGTTGGCCCTTGATGCTGATTCTGTGGTATGCAGGAAGGAGGAGGGAGGATGACCTCCCCAACCCCCGCCTCCTCTCTCTATGGCACACTGCTCTGTCACAGAGGTCGTGTAAAAAAAAATGAAACGAAAGAAAAAAAAAATAAAAATTCACCAAGGTGGCAGGGAGAGCTCGGCATCCAGGCAGATGCACTTTCTACGCTGTACTTCCTGTAGGCGGAGTCTCACAGCTCCGCCTTCTTCCTTCCAACCTCCTTCCTTTTTTTTGGGGGGTGGGGGGGGCCGATGAAGATGATGCCACCTCCACTTCCGCGCCTACTGTAAAGCAGCGTCCCCCCCCCCCCCCACGTGGATACTGTCGTGATGTCACTTCCTTTTTTTTTTTTTTGGCGGCATCCCCGCCCTCCCCAATGGGCAGCGTCGCTAGTTTACAGCTTTGGGGAGTGGGGGGGGTGAGCCACGGCGGGACGGTGTACAGCCGAGCCTCCCCCGTCTGCCCCTCTCCACGCCCCGGCAGAGGTCACTGACTTTCGGACTACTTAAGAGGGTAAAAATGGCGCCCACTGACTTTACTCACCTGCCAGACTCCGAGCCCAAGCCTTTGTGTCACTTTGCACCGACGGATGAACTGTCAGACCAACACGAAAAACAAGGTGCGTACAACTACCAAGGATGCACGTTTCCATCCGACGAGAATAACTCATCCACATCCATGTAACAAATTGAATTATAACCCAGTAATCCCATCGTACTACATCAGCAGGTGCATAACCAAAAGACAAGCCTGAGGCATATAGACTGTGTCGCTAGATGAAACATTATAGAAATACAGTAGTGCCCATCCAACAGTATCAAGGAACGAGGGCTGAAATATGTGATTTCTTTTTGTCAATGTATTCTGAGAATATTTGTATGTTTTTTTTTCAGCACTCAAAACTTTTGAACAGAAAAAAAAAGTTTTAATTTTATGAAAGCAGAACCTTAATTCTTTATATCAGGAGTCACTGTAAACGTGTTTAATCAAGAATGTTGGTTCAGTTTCTGAATGTAGTCTAGGGTGTCCAATAAGTATGTATTCTTTTTCTGTATATAAATATATATACATATCTATTATATGGGCTGTGGTGATGTCAGGGAATAGAGGGGGTGGCAGGAAAGCCTCCGGACCCCCGAGCATAGTTATCAGAACCCCCCCCCTCCTCCCGCCCCCCCTCAAACTAAATATGTCCCTGATATTTACTGTAACATGTGATCATGTGCTATATGATTGAAAGTGTGACGGTGATGGTGTGAACTGATCTCCCCTTGAATCCCGACTTTTTTAACCCGCAAACACGCTGTGCAGTTTCCTCCCAGACCAACGACACATGCTGGATTACAGACCCCATCAGAGCGAAGCGCCGTAGCCCGCTTTCCTTTCCGGAGACAAAGGTTTACATTCGCAGTAACTCTGACCCCTTCCACCGGAGCTGCAAAAGACTTCCTAATTAGCGTTTTAAGGTGTTGTTGGTGTCGGATAAAAAGTTTATGAATATTGATTTGTCTTTCTTACCAGAACCAAAGTATGATTTTAACACACAGGCTCAGTGCTCTTTGATCAGGAGACAGCGGGACTCTGGGAAGACGGCGGAGCCCGGATGCATATTGACGTGACCCAGATTTCATTCACTCATCTCTACAGAGGAAGAGCTCGCTTTTAACGAGCTGTGCTGGAGGAGCCCTGCGCGCAGCTTCCTGTGGCGGCCTCGGTTTACCGACCGCTAGTCTCACGCTGACCCTGGTGGGCGGCAGCTGGTTTCTAACTGCATATTGGATATAACCTGCTGGCCCTCACCAGAAACTTTTACTTTTTCTTTTTTTTAAAACAGAGGTGAGCAGGTTGGGGTGAAGCACAACTTAGTTTGAGAGTTCAGGGTACGCTACTTGGTTAGTGATGGATTGTGAAGAAGGATATTATAGATTAAGCTCCAGACTTCCTGTACAAAACAACACAGTGTACTGTTAATATTCTGTACAGTAAATCTCACCTCACACGTCTTGATTAACTTCATCTTCTTTCAGGTTAAAAATAAGTGAAACATAGACTCGTTCTGAATCAGGGCTCCTATCCACGCGACCTCTGTTCATCTCTAGACAGCCTCCTATATATTACAGAGTATCTATATCATGGCAACTAACTGTTGTGAAGTCTAATTGGGGTAAAGTCGGTCATTTGTCCCCCCCCTCATACAGCTTTCATCTGCAGATTTAGCATCTTCATAATTGTTGGTTTGTTTCTGAGAGTCATCTAGATTGTTCTGGCCTACTTAGAGCTCCGCAGACTCGAGGTGGGTCAAAAAAAACTCATGAGCAGGTTGGAGTTTTAGTTTGCCGACAACTTCTAGGGAGCCAGAGATAAAGAGCCACAGTTTGTCTCCTCTTCCTCCTCCTTCCTCTTTTTTTGTTTTGTCACAAAGTTGGAATTTATCCACTGAATAATCTATGCATACAGCAACAAAACACTTGATGTCATGTGTGATAGGCACATTTTCTGAAAGAACACTGTTGTGTACTTATTCTAGTTAGCTACTAGCAGATCAAATCTGACGGGATGAAGCTGGTATTATTATTATTATTACGTGTTTTAGTTTTGTCAACAAATCTAAGAAAAAGTGAAAAAAAATGTGTGTTTGTCTTCAGTACTCTCTGACTTAGTTACACTGTTTTTACAAACTAGAAAGAAAAAAAAAAGTGTAGTTTCTAGCAAATGCTACTCCGATAGTAAGTGAGCTCAAGTGCATTTCTTGGGGACTATTTTCAGCAGCGGATGAATTCACAAAACGTGCTGTTGTGAGTTTTTTTTTGTCAGTGGATGTGATAAAGGAACATTTCTCCACCTGCAGCAGATTTTGATGTATTTTTCTTTAGGGAACCATCAAGCTCTCTGTATCTGTTTGGGTTCAACTTATTTTTAAATCTGTTTTTATTTTATTATTTTTATTTTTTTTCTGTTTCAAGTTGAAGGACACAGCATTACTTTGAAGGAGTGATGTCAAAAAAAAAAAAAAGGCATGTATGATATCAAGCTGCCTCCGCTTCAGTTTATGCAAACCACAAAAAAAAGTTAACAAATTTTTAAACTAAAGGTTTGAGCTCTGAAAATAGCAACATTTGCAGTAAATTGTGCAAAAATAAACGACCCAATCTTCATTTGTTTCTTGTATTAAGTGTCGTAGATGTAGGAATAGGAAATAGGGGCTGTGTGCAATGTTGCCATTCTAAGTATTCTTCTGATGTTTACCTTCAGCTCATTTTTGATCCACGGTTCACAGGTAAAACCGACACAAAAAAAAACAACCTAAACTGAACCAATGACACTCGTCACCTCTTCTACAGTACTTGTTTCAAACATATATGCAGCTTTGCAGCCAACTTTAAAGTGCAGGTTTTGTAAAAAATAAATAAAAAAGCAAAACACAACTGAAGAGAAAATAAAAGTTCATGTAGAGGTGTGGTAATGGAGAGTCCCACCATGCTTATTGCAGCTCTTAATGCATGAAGGTATTTTGTTTTTAAATTTTTTTTTTCCACCTACCCACTACAGCTCCCATGACCCTCCCTCCCCCGCTGACGGCGTGTAGCTGCCACAGCCATCATGTGAGCTGCAGTTGAACAAACTAAGAAAAAAAGTATAAAAGATGAATTTTATTGCCTTAGAATTTTTATCCAGTTGATATGAAAATACTAAATAGATTTTAAATGTATAAATGGAAGTAGTTAGGCGTTAGCAGTGGTGAGGTAGACCTTGAGAAGACACTGTTTTTAACCTTTTAGGGCCGCTTTGTTCCCACTGTGGTTGTTTGTCTCGGCTCGCCGGCGGACGCTCTGAACCCAAACGGCGTCCAGAGCGTTCCTGTTGAGATAAAGGAAAAAAAAAGGCCGATCTAAAACTCCAGCCTGCGTCGTAGCAGTGGGACGGAGCGGAGGAGGGGTGTGGGGTTCCAGCGACCCTCTCTTCCTTCCTTCAGATGCCTTTAATTTAAGAAAAAACAAGAAAAAAAAAAACGGTCCTGATCTTCCTGAGCACAACTGCTTGAGCTGTGACACTTGCAGGATGCCCCTCGCTTCCATTTTAGCCCAAATAGCACCCCCACCCACCCCAGCCTTCCAGTATGTGAGTCGACTGGCCCCTTTTGTATTCCTGGTGTTCTGTACATAATAACCTTCACTCCCCCAAATGATCTCTTACTTCCTTTCAGGGGGAAAAAGAAGAAAAAAAAATGTTAAAAACATAAAAAAAAAAAAAGAGACTATCCTTTGACTCCCGAAATCTTGTATTTTGTTCTAATGATGACAAAATTTATTTATAAGGGATTTTTTAAAATGTATTTCTTTCTTCCTTTTTGTAAATGTTCCAGTTAAATAATGTTTAAAAATGTTAAAAAATGAAATGGATATATTGAAAGGTTAAAAAATATGTCTCTAGAAGTCCCCGCCCCCCCTCCTCTGGCTCTGTACTCTGAACTTTGTGTTTTTGTTTTTTCTCTTTCTGTATGCTTCTCTTTATGTGCTTCAGATGAAGAGTTCTATTTATTACGACATTAACGTTATTATAATTATGACTAATTATTAATATTATCATCCTCATCATCCTCATTATTATCATTAATAAACTTGTCTACTTCAGCTGCTGTGTGTCTGGGTTGTTTATGGTGACTGATGGCTTGCCATACGCTCGGCCCGGACCGGGGAGTCCCACGGCGCGACCCAGGCGCCCCATGTGATGAGGCAGGTGGAAATGGGCGTGCCTTTTTTTCCTCCAGCAATACCTCTTCTACCAAACCCTTGTGGGGCTACAAGATGGAGAGCACCCGTCTGCTGCAGAGGCCGACATTTACCTGCACGACGCCACCTTTTCAGGGCGCAGACGGAAAGCGAATACATGTAAATATTACAGAAGATCAGTTTCTTATCATGGTTGCTGGCTTTGTTTAATCCTCGGAGCCTGTGCAAACAAAAAGACATTTTTCTATCAAAAAAAGATGGAAGGTATCGGAGATCCATTGTTGTTTGTGTTTCTCCATCATCACATCAACATTTACACAATGAGACCTCTGAAGGCCTCATTCAGCAGATATATCTT